TATCATTTTATTACGAATCAAATTTGTTTGATTGCATAAAAAATAACTTATCTTCAAATAAATGCTAATAAAAAATAATTTTGTACCTACTTCTGCAATAAATGATGTGAACATCATCATAGATGGGTTCAAAATAAAATCGTACAACTTGTTCCAGTCGAAATTCTGTTATTAAATTATTAATTATATAAAATAACAATAATAATGCACTATACTATATATACTATATATTTATACTATTTATATAGTATATTATTATTGTTATTGACGATCAATGACGCGTAATTTCGAGATAAAAATAAAAACCAATTATATCTATACATGAATTGGTATTTTTACATAATTGCCTACAATACATTTTAAAACATAATCGACACCGCTGATCAGGATAATGTTATTATATTAAAACCGTTAAAAATATAAACTAATATGGTTAACTTTCATCTATCAGTAATATCACTTAAATTTTAAAAAGGTTTTGGCGCCCTGGTAGGGCTGGTAGTCATGGTGCATACGCACCTCTCGCATTCCCTAAGCAAGGCACTATTTTTGCCTGTAACATAATATATACTAACTGTTAACTATGTACATTATGTACAATGTATAGATAGAAACTAATTAATAAAGTACAATATATTATTAATATAGCAACTTTAATTAATTCATGTTTATGCGTATGATTTAAAAACTTTTGAAGGGTGTGGGGGCAATGCCTTCTACGACAACGCAAAATTCTGTATAAACTATGTAGTACTTACAAAAAAATGTATATTTTAATCTCTAGTTGGAACTTGTACCATTAGGTATACAAAATATTAAGTATACAATTTAAATTCATAATAAAATCTTTAAGTAAATACATTTTAAACACTTGGAGAAAACATAAATCGAACATTATTAACAAATGATATATGGTCGGAATAAAATTTTTTGAGTAAACATTTTGAATTTCCTATTACATTTTATTTAAAAATGCATATAATGATGTATAAATATGCGCTAAAAAAAAAAAATACTCTTAAAATGTCAAACTATGAAAAATCAAAAATGTAAAATAAAAGTTTAAGTTTTCAATTTTCTGATATATGAAATGAATTTTGTACTTGAAAACATTCTCTTGGACTTCTTAAAAAATAAGGATTTTACGTTCAAATCTGGGTTCCAATTATAATACAATTACACTTATTATAATAGGTATGCCTATTAATTTTAATCCATTTTAATTCGTTGGAATTCGTCCGTTTCTGGAATGCGTTAAAGGCTCTAGATCTTTCCGAATTTCGCAAAAACTACGTATACGATATCACGATAAATCTTATTGCCATTTATCAGCGGCGACAGCGCCACGGCGGACATCACGCTGACGATTCAACCATGTCCTATGTATTGGTGTGTAGTGATCTTTGTGCCCTCGACGCTCACATAATATATATTTGTTTAATACCGTATAACGACTATAACGTATAGCGGCGTTAAAAGATTTATATAGCCTGCCAGCTTGCTCATTCGTTTCTTTCTTTATTTATTTATTTTAGTATTATCCATAAGTAAACTGTTCGTAAATTGTTTTTATAATTTTATTTTATACCATGAGTATATAAAAAACGCGTGTATTAGGTTAGGTTATCGCTTAATAAAATCATATTTTTTTTATTTTTTTTTATGACCCCGATTGCATTATAATAAATATAGGGTGTATATTATTATAAATTATTCATAATAATTGTCAATTGATAACATAAGTGGAGATGTAAAGCTACATTATGTTCATATAAGCCTCTAAAGTTAGGTGTTGTCTTAATATGATTGATTAATCATTAATGCATACGTATATAAATAAGATAGTACATTATTAAAAGTACCCAAAAGTCAGTAATAAAAAAACTAAGAGGTCTTTTATGGGTGAACAAGGTAAAATGTTATTAGTTTATTAATAATTGCTAATTATGTTGTAACTGAACTGTTACTGTATGAGTGTATAGTGTATGAATATATAACTGTAGATATAGTTCCTTACAACCTATAGATTCAAATAAATACAATTTTATTCATAAATTATTAATGTATGTACAATGTACATACTTATGTTAAATGGTTATATTTTAATACATTCATATATTTTATATTTTAAAGCCTTGGTATGTGCCATGTGGTGAAAATGATCTATCCATAACCCCAACACCATTAATCTCTTATAAGAAGATGTCGCACCCTCGTGTATTGTGTCCGTCTAACTAACGCATAAATGCATAACATGGCAAAATAAATTGCGTTCAGAACAATTCATTTTACTCTTGTTATTTTTAATGTTATAGTGAAGACAATATCCCAGATATCTCCAAACATGATATAACATAATAACCAATAAGTAGTTATATATACATAGGTACTATAGTAAATTGATCTATTATTATAAAATTTAAATAAAAAAATTCTGTTATTATTGTATAATAACATTAATTTTTTATTAAAAATTAACAACAAAAAATATTCAGAATATTATTTGGGAATGCCATGTAAGATTTTTTTCAATGTTTAAAGTTTAAGAAAATTTTGAGTAATTTTAAATAGTTTATTTTTATATAGTACTAAACAGCTTAATTAATATTTTTTTGTGAACAGACATGCCTGTAATTTATTTTAGATTATTTTGATTTAATTATGGATAAGCATTTATGATTTACTTGAAATCTGATCATCTAAATAATTCGAAAACCTTATTACTCGTATCATATTATATTGTACCTCGCTGAATTTGCTTTGCACGAGCCTTGAGCCCTTGAAAAATAAATTATACAATAATAGATATTTTATTATATAATAATTGTAATATAATTTAAATATACTTGTTAATTTATCATGTACCGAATGACGAAAATTAAAAATTTAAATTAATACATAAATAGATAGGTATCTATAGGTAAATATGTTAGATATAGGTATCATCTTTGCACAGCGAGGTTTATATAGTCATCAGTGTACATATTAACCACACAGTCGTTTATTATTCTCTCGTTTGAGGAAAAAATAATTTTGTTAAATTTTATATTAATATTTATTTTATTTTTGTGCAGCATATATTATAAAATATTTAAAAACCTATACATCTATATTATATGACCTATACATTCCACACGAATAATATAATGAATACTTATAAGTTATAACATTAAATAATAATAAAAAAAATCATTATAATATAGCTATAAAAAATATAAAATGTCATTTAGATTTAAATAAACCGGTAAATTTCAAGAACCCGTGAAAAACTGGTCACACGTGTAGTCTTGTATAGGTACGCTTACTGGCATACTAAAATATACACTACACATATATAATATAACCTATACATAAATATATAATATATATATATTATATAAACATATGTACGCCGACATTTTGAGTGGGTGGCTCAAGCGAATGTATCGGTTCAAAATTCGACAGTGATTAATTGTTGTCACATTCTGAGTAGTTACAAAAATTTTAGTATTGTACCAGTGATGAATAAACCACATTGTTTTATTCGCTAAAAAGGTTTTAACAGCTATAATATCGTTACAACTCATAACATTATATTAACCTGCAATTAACCTGAAGTATTATTTTTTTTTGTATCGTTAATAATATACCTACTATGAACTTAATAATATTAGGTCTTACGATCAATTTCCCTAATAAAAATAGGAAATTGATTGTGAGATCTCAGAAAAGCTTTCTCATTAGTTCGTGGTAATTTTCAGTACATCATTTATAATAGGAAATATGAATATCTATATAATTTTCATCTATTAAAATTTTAATGAACTCTGTCTTTTTAACTTTGAGTTTTTCATCATCCCACAACATGTACAGTACATATACCTTAATTTATTACAAATAATTAATCCGTTTTTGATTCAACTACTTCCGCAATACTGGATTATAGGATTACATCCACTAGTGCCACTCCATTTTCTGCTCATCTTTCTCACTTCATCATCTCCATTACGAATGCAGTAATTGTAATTATTATGGTGATCTAAAATTCCATATTTCATAGCATGACGTTCATGCACCCCTCCCACAAGATCATTCTGATGATAAGTGACTTTTAGTCAAATTTTTGTGTTAGCTACGATATGTGCTGATGAACATCGCTCACACTTCAATGATACTTATGATAGGTTATATACTCTGCATTATTTGTGTAATAGAGATAATATGAATGCTTTATTTTCAAAACTTAATTTCACTCTTCTATTATATTTCCACAGATAATACGCAGGTATTTGCGACCCGATAGTGACTGTATTGGTATGTGAACTCCCCATGCTTTATGTGCTTACCCATTTATCGAAATCTCCGATTAGCTGCATTATAGTAGGGTCACTAGGGTTATAATAGAAGTACGGAAGTTTAGAACTAGAAAATCTGGAGAGCTTGTGTAAACAAAGTACGTGTTGAACTTTTTAAAATCGGTATCTATTAGAGCTTCTTTTCAAGTCACATGATATTATGACCTCGATTTCAACCTGTACATTATGCTCTGATTTCTTGTTCTGATTATATATCATAATACATTATGTAAATGATTGTTTAAAAATTTCTGGTTATCCATAAAGTGTTTTATTGGTGAACAGGTACATAATTCTTTCTAGCAATACAATAATGTGCAATTTAAATCATTATGACACGTTGAATTTATTATATTATATTATTTGTTTTTGTAAAAAAATAAATTAATATTTATTATTAATATTAAATATGCATAATATATTATAGGGTTTAGATTGGCCAAATATAAAATTATCACTATAAAAAGATAGATACTTCCTATGCTGATAAACATAGTACACTACACTAATATTATATTATATACTTTTGAGTAGTTTTACACCGATAGGGGCCTATATACGCCAATGTTCGCCTGCATAATATACTAAACTGTTTACACAGTTGACCGAAACATCTGTCTACATTGAGGTTTCACTATTTCCAAGAGTGTTTTAGGTAACTATAATCAAATTTGAGCGCATTCGCCGGTAGAAGTGCACAAAATCAAATACTTTCTTTCTTTATTTTTTTTTTTTTTTACGTTTTTTACTCTCATTAAACTTTTATAAGGTAGACTATAATTGTCGGTTTTGCTTAATAACTATGAAGTAATATAAATATATTTTAAAAATGGTTTATAGACTAATCGAGATTATCACGTACCAGTTATAATATGTTTGTAGTGGTGCGTCAAAATAATATAAAACAGATGGTTTGACTTTAAAATATTTTAACCAGAGTGTTAATGGCTTATTCATTTTTCCAGAACGAAAATATACTGAAATGTTCAAGAATTGTTACCGATGTTGTTTATTTTATTTCGGTTTTGGTCGTCGTTCCGAAGACGTGGGCATCAATCTAGGACTGTTGGAAAATGGAAACTCTATTGCCGGTAGTACTGAACACTACACTGTTCAAAAAATATCAAGGTTGGTACTTATCAAGTTATTATAACGAAAACCGCATTACATTTTGTATAAATTTGTGTAGATAGTGCATACATTTAATATATACTTACGCTCACAGCTTTACGTCATATGAAGTTAATTATTACCATCATATTACAGTTTTGGTCGACATATTTCTCATGATGAAGACGGACTTTCTGTGTCAGGTTTTACCAGCGATGGTGAAGACGACGACCCTCCGCCAAAAACACAAACCATGAAAAAAAGAAGTAAATGGGGAAAACCAGTAAATAAACTCAAAGACCCAAAAACTCCAAATTCATTTCAAACATTAGCTGGTGTCAGTATGATGATGTTACAGCCTATCACGGCGGGGGCTGGTTCTACTTCAACACCAGATTTGGTGAGTTAAGTTTTAAGATACTTAAAATATTATACCCAATGGGATTTAGTGGATTCTTGAAACCTAGCAATAAATTATTATTTTAATTTTTCATTGAATCCTATAAAAATATATATACATCTTTAAACGTACTTATAATTAATTTATAATATATAAGATTATAAGGATATATGATAAGTGATAAAACACTTAAAAATAATTTATATTAATTAAATCTTGACACAAAGATTTGACTATACTAGGTATAATACGGTTTTCATATTGAGTGTAAAAATATTTGTAAATTACTTAATTGTCATTCAGCAAAGCAAGACAATAAAATAATTTAAATATGGTAGTATATTTAAATACGAAAAATCTATATAGTTTTAAGAAAAAACTCAAGAAAATTCTGTACGAGAATAGAACATTTTTTAGGTATTGACGTTCAAACTCTTGTTAGTGCATTTTTATCCTTATTATTTTTTTAAGAGTTTAACATCTGGTAAAAAAGAATTTTCCAAGAAAGAAGATAAAATGGATTATCTTTCTCCTGCGTCATGTAAAGAAACTACAGGTTGGCTTAAATCTCAGAGTATGCAGGTAAAAAGGGAATGCCCTCTTTCGATTAAAAATAAATTTAAAAATAACAATACATTAATTTTTAATTTTAGGATATGACTTCGACTACAGACTCCGATAGTTTTGCATTATCATTAAAAAGTGCTGACGACAACACATCAAGTTCAAATGTACGTCCTCATCGTTTTGGATCAGTGGCAACGTCAATGATTAATGTCACTAGTAGATTAACATCAATAAGATCAAAATCTACTGAGATGGTTTCGAATACATGGAAAACACCTGTAGACAATGCACCTCCGGTTGATCCTAATGCACACCAAGAACAAGCTTATGGGAATGTTAATTTTAAAATCACATACGATCAACATACAAAAAAGTAATATTACCAACAAAATATATATATATACCTTAAGATATCAATAGTGTGCTAAATAATTTACAGATCTGAGACAAACTACCATTTAACCACACGTGCACTCATGGCTTTTAATCTACATTTTTTTTTTTTAATAGTTTGAATATTATTGTTAAAAACTTTTTATCACACTAAATCTATTGCCCAGTACTTATCCAATACACTAACTACCCAACCACCTATGAAGGTTAGGTTAGGTTAGTTGAGGTAATTACCTTAAAAAATCCTATTTCGGCACATCACTTTTAATATATAGGTATAGCCGTATAGGTATACCTATTTGATATGCAGAGTAAGAATTAAATAAAACTACAGAAATTACTCATGATTAGTAGGTACTTAAATATGTTTCAAGTGTACTTCATCATTACTCATTGAATAGGTAGGTCACTTTAATAGATTATGGATGTGTTAAATTTAAATTCAATAATTTATTCATTGTATAATAACAACAATTCTAAATGAAGATCACGCTGTCAGCTTTTATTTCTAATTTTTTAACAAGTTTATTTATTTTTCAATTAGAAATATAGAAGGTTGAATTAAATGTTGTTAAGAACATCACATTATTATAATCTAATTGTTATAATATTGTTTCATGAATTATTATTATTTACTTAAAATTATATAAAATTATTACCGTATATATTAAAGTTAATAGGTACGCGTGGTATAAGTAACTTAAAATTAGTCTACAAACATTTTGGGTATTTTCTAGCATATAAAAAAATAATAATGCATGTAATGATAAACAATTTAAAGTACTTACGATTTTTTTGAATTACAATAAATTAATTAAAATTGTTAGAACTGTGGGCTTAAATTCAAAAAAATATTGCACACCATTTTTCACTACCCTACATTATTAAAATACGGAGGGTACTTATTATCGTTAATTAAAGTCATTTTGCTTATCTCTGCTCAAATGCACCCCCACCTATAGGTACATGCTTCGCCGCCTTGATTTATTACAAATTTTAGCTATAGCAGTTAAAATATCCAATCATTATTTTTATTTCATGAACCTGTTTACGTAGTTTATCTCAAATATGATGATGTGTTTGATTTAATATTGTATTTAATAAATACAATAAAATACAATTGAGTTATTTTAAGTCATATAAATTTTTATATAATTGGATGTTAACTTTATTATATAATTACCTAATAAAATTATTAAAAGTGTACGTATTATATAAGTAATAAGAGAGTTTTTATTGAAAAAAAACATTTTTTTTTTCAAGACTTTTTGTTCGCGTGGAAAATTTGGATGGATTAGCGCCTAAAGGAAAAGATAAACGACCATATAAGACAGTTTTAAAACTAACACTTTTGCCGCAGGAAAAAACTACTAAAACAAGTAAAACTATAGCTGCTGCTATGAGCCCCGTTGTAAATGAAGATTTTTTTATTAGTACCAAGTGTATTTCAAACAAAGTCTTAAGGTAAATAAGGTTTTATTAAAAATATTATTTGTATATTTTAATAGCTTAATAATTTATGTAGGATATCTGTTTTTGATCATGAATATCAAGGAAAATATGATGCAGTTGGTCATGCTTTATTTTATTTAGACAATATATCGCCCAGTAATGATGGAGCGCAAAGTGTTAAACTTTATAAACATTCTTGGGTAAGTGTTTAAAAGTTGAATAGAATAATAATTTTATAAATTCTATACTTGTATAGTGTAATTAGTAACTATTAATATATGTAAAAACTTAATTTACCTTTATAGTTATGTTTACATGTATAATTTTTTTCCACAGCCCGATATAAATCATTGTAATATCAATATCAGTTTAAGTTATAAAAAACAACAGGAAACTTTGCATATAGTGGTTCACGAAGCTAACAATTTATATCTGCCACACGGTTAGTAAAATAATAATGTAACTATATTAACTATTGAGCGTTGCATATTTGTGTAGTTTAAAGCTTGTAATTTACTTAATAGAACGTTAAATAATATATTTTTGAAATAATTAAATGATATATTTGTTTAGAAAAATCAAAAACTTTTGTGAAAATAGCATATTTTAGTAAGGGTAAACGCATCAAGGAATATCAATCACCATCAGTACCCAACACAAAAAATGACCCTAAGGCAACATACGAATTTAAAGTGGATATACGAATAGATTTAAATTCCACCGCAAATGGCTATATAGTAATTGGTTTAAAAGAAAAAGGATTCTTAAAAAGGAATGAAAGTAATTTAGGAAGAGTAATATTTGGGCCCTTTTTGTATACAGAAAGAGGTTATGATTTAACTCCTTGGGGTAAGGTTCTATTAACTAAAGATGGTGTTTCGGATACATTTAAAACATATTTATAACGTATAGAGAACAAAAATATATTTAGGTCAATATTAATATAAAATTATTAGTATTATAATGTATAATATTTATTGTTTAAATGGAATATTTAATTTGTATTGAAAGTTATAGTATGCCAAGTAGAAAATAATTTTTATAAACCAACATTATTGCTGTTATGTTTAGGTATAATTTTATATTTTCTTTTTTGAGATAAAGAATTTAGTAATTTTAATAATAAACATTAAATGTAAGATAATATGTATAAAACTTACTTACACGCTAAACGTTTATTGATTTAAAAATATAAATAGTAAAATATAAAGTGCTAAAATTGTATTATATTATATTATTTATATTGAATTAACCAGAAATTATTGTACTTAAAAAATTATAAAAGTTTATAACTTTTAACGTCTCCATCTGTTTGTAGAACAAATATTGGAGTACTTTTAATTTTTGTTAATAAATGTTTTTGTTTAATATTATTTTTTGATTTATTTTAATTTATTTATTTAATATTTTTGTTTAATTAATTTTCTTTAATTTATTAGTTAATTGTAAACCATAAACGTCCTCAATAGTTATTAAAACCAATTACATTTTTATTCAAACAAACATTTTGTACACGATGAAATACAATACTCCGCAGTTATATAATTTTTCCTAAAATGTAAATGGTTTTTTAGCAAAGTTTCAAAATTATTCAAATAAACTTTTATATATTTTTATCGTTTTTAGTTTAAAAATTTTGCTTGGTCTGTAGTTTTAAAAAAAGGAATTGATGTTTCTATTGTTTTATTTATTTATTTTTTTTTTTATCTATTATAGATTTCTTGTTGTTTATATAAGTGGGCATATTATGGCAAGCGTGTGGCTACAGAGAATTTTATTATATCAATTCAATGGTTGCGGTTTAATAATTTGAATTTTGAAATTACTATATTTTGAAAATTCCTGCTTTTTAAAAAATAAGAAAATAAATACTGCAAAAATATTTATCTGCAAGTAATAATTATAGACTATAGTAGGTACTTAACGGAGTGCTATTTCACATTTTAGAAAAATCTTCATTACGTATTTTTCTGTAAAATGCCAATTCATTTGATAGTAATTTTCCTTAGCCCCATCGGAACATATTTGGCGGTAATATTCCTGAAACTCCCTATTTCAAGTTCTACGAATGGATATACATGTACATGTTTTACGTCTAAAGGGGAAAATATATGGTTAGATAATAATATATTAAAATAACTCTTACTCGTACATAAATATATACCATTTGCGTAGGTATATATTATACTAGCATTACCATTATGGTTAAGTGTATATAATAGTTATATGGTAAATATATGTAATATTTATATATATATACAGGTAGGTAATTCGCATCCAAAACTCTATATAGGGGAGGGGGTATAAGTATTTTGGGAGTTTACCAATTGCGCTTAAAATTACCTTTTCATATACCAATTGCGCTCTAAACATTTTAGGGTCGATATACCAATTGCGCTCTAAACATTTTAGGGTCGATATACCAATTGCGCTCTAAACATTCTAGGGTCGATGTACCAATTGCGCTCAATATATTTTACATTACCTAAGGAAAACTTATTAGTTAGTTAATAACCGATTTTTTTTGCGAGTTAAAAGTAAAAGTCTTCCAAGTCGGTGAAACGTATAGGCTTTATACAGTTAAGTTAATGAAAACTAAAATAATATAACATTAATAATAATAAGAGAATAATGAATTTGGTCACAACGAGGTATAATAATAACATTATGATTTAAAAAAATATATATATAACACAAATAAATTAATAGGTGGGTACACTAACTGGTCACAAGTTTGATTGTCAATTATTCAAAATTAAATTAATAGGTACATAATAATATTATAATTCACATTTAAACGTTTTTACAATAATGATAACACACAATTTTTAAAAATTCGTTTCTACAAATTTCGCCAGATTTGTATTTATCGATATAAGAATTAATTGTTATTTTTTTTTTTAAATATGCTCTATTAGAAATATATTTTTCCTGTTCTATACTATTTATTGCAATGTACGTGCTAGTCTGCGTTTCAATAATAACTTTTAAAAAGACAAAAATATTTGGATGGGGAGAATAAAAATTTGTAGAAAATGAAGCGTGAAAAGCTTCACATGCATTAGTTGTACGTTCACAGCTTATTGAATTGGACGCCCACAGTTTTGGAGGAAATGTAGAATTAGATGATATATAGTTTTCAACGAGATAATTAGTAAATTTAGTTAGATTTGAATTAATTGGTTGAATCGTCATTAGTTCTTCTACAAACACATCCTCCACTTCTTCGTGTGAAAAAAGTGATAAACCAAAAACTAAATGAAGCCATTTTCCTACTTCAGAATTAGGATTTTTATACTCTGTTTGCAGTCCACAACTTTGAATATTCCTCCACCAAGCTTGTGATAAATGAAATCGACACCCTACTAAAAGTATTGAAGGCCAGACTTGTTTTACTGCAAAATGTATACCTTGTTCGAAATCGGCAACGACTGTTTTTGGATTTAAATCAATATTGAATGTTGCACATTTACTAATTAAAACTCGAAATAAATATTCATATGTACTTGGTAATTTATTTGGCAGTAAAGAAAATATAAGTGGAATATAGTGCCCATTTTTCAAACCATGTATTGTAAAAAGTTGGTAAAAATATTTAGAACAAAATTCGAATGTTCCATCAACAAATATTTTGTCACAAGTACATAAAAATTCTAAGTTTGATTTGGTAGAAAAACATATTATATTCAACATATTGTCGTTTATAAGCAATAAATTCTCACTCTTGTATGTATTTGTATCCAAATTATTTAAAGCTGTATGCACTTCGGTTACATTTTTCGGTAAAGGTGGTAGCGTTTTTCTACGAGTACGATAAACGCTTCGTCGTATAGAATGCACATCGTTTAATGTTAAATCTAACGCACTTGATTGCACTTCATTCCGAATTAGTTTTAGTGGTCGTGTTGTAACTTGGTCTGTTGCTTTTCTTTTTAATGAATTAGCAACAATTTGTCTATTAATATTTGAACTTACTTCGTGGTTATGATCAAAATTCGATTTTAAAAGCACCGTTTCACTCACATCACATAAAAAATTCGAAGTACACGATTTAATTGTACATCTCCATTTTATTCCATTTTTGGAAATAGTACATTTTCGGAACTTAAACTCGTCAAGAACTAATAACGGTTTACCTTTTTCACTAAAAGCTTTTGTAAAACGATCCATATTGTAACGTCAAACAACTAAAACTTATACTAAACGATTAACAAGACATAAGTATTGGGTACCTATCAATATGATTTATATTTATAATGGGTATCACCAATGTGTTCTTCTATCTACAGTATATTGTGTGCAACGAAACAATTAGGCTGATAAAATATATCCGATGATAATGAAAACTTGTTTTCGTCCATCACTCAAATGCGTACTTCCGTAATCAAAATATGTGCGTAATAATAATAACGTTTCATAAAATTCCCTACATTAATATATATAATAATACACTGTTAAAAAATATATTAAAACATAAGACATAAAGTAATAGGATTTTGAGTTTATGGTAATCATAATATTTGTATTTTGCATGTTTTAACAATAATAATAATTTTTCAAATAATAATTTGAGCATGGCAATTTAGAATAATATAATTTAAATTCAAGCGCAATTGGTATATTGACCGTAAAATATAAAGAGCGCAATTGGTACACTAACCGTAAAATATATGCAGCGCAATTGGTATATTGACCCAAGTATAAAAATTTTGTTTTAGGCGCAATTGGTCCATGCCCAGTATTTTTACCCAAAAAATATGGTAATTTTTATACGTCGTATTTGCCAGTTTAAACAAAACATACATGAAAACTTAAAATTATCATACTGGATGATTTTATACTTTGAATTGAACATGTATAAGCAAGCCCGGATTAAGGGGGAGCCAGGGAGCACGGCCCTGGAGCCCACTGATTTTGAGGGTCCCTCTTTATTTCCAATATAAATATATATTTTTAATGCGTTTAAAAAAGTTAAAAAAAAAAAAAATTATTTTAGTGGGTATAATAAATATACTAGTAGTAATAATTGTAAAATAAAATTGTTCTCAATTTTATATTACGAAAAATTACCAAATGATAATAAATATTAAATGTTATTCAATTTATTCATAGCGAATAAGTGGTAATAATTGATATTAAGTATTCTTGATCTATTCGTACGAGATGCCCATACATAATAAAAATAATTGTTTGGCCAAAAGAGCATTTTCCAAATTAACAAGAATAAAAAATAAATATAGAACAAGCCAGATTATGGAAAATTTAACATCATTAATTATATATTATACTCAGAAAATGATTTTTTTTGCAATTGAACAATTTCAATGAAACTATTCAACAATTTGTAAATGAAAAAATTTGCAAAAGAAAAAAATTTAAATTATTATTCTTTTTAATAAATACGGTGTTTGTATATATATATATATGTTTTTGTATTGTACAAAATTATACAATAATATACAGTTATATAGTTTTTAAAAAGTAGTGATATAATTTTTTTTGAAGTTAAAGTTGAAAGGGGGCCCACTAAGTTGATGGTGTTCTGGGGCCCAATCAATCCTTAATCCGGGCTTGTGTATAAGTATAAATATACTATTTTACATGTGCGTGTGAATGTGTGTGTGCATGCGTACTGTAAATATGTTTATGTGTATATAAAAAATGTATATTGTTATGTTTATTATATTTTAATATTTATAATATATATTGTATACGATATCGGACACACCCTTTTGCTTACGTGTTTATAGTTTTATACCCCACTATTGCAAATAACGATAATAATTGTCCGTCCGACCGTAATTCGAATGGTTTAATGCGAGATTTAAAAACTAGTTATGAGCTCTCGTAATATACGTATATCGCGAAAACAAACCCGAACTGGTTTAAAACTTTAAAATAATTTCCGTAATAATTGCTAAATAAACGCATAAATAATTTATAT